TCTTCTTGTGGGCTTTTAAAGCTCTCCACATTTCCATCACAACCCGCCTTTGGGAGTAAGTGGTGTAAGCCCTTAAGGACCAGCAGCTGATTCTGTGTGAACTGAAGTTGAGTTAGACTTTGTGATGAGTGTGAGATCATAAATTGGACATGTTAGCAGGTAAATGGAGGCCATGTGTTAGGACATATGATGTGCTGGAGCAGGCTGGGAAGGAACATAATCACCACTGAATCTGCAGGGGTTTGTGAGGACTGTTGGACATTACCTCTTACACTTGATATGTTGATCTTTTTGGAGCAGTCTCCTCTGATGTTCAAAGTATTTGTGGACACCAGGTGTGTGTGCTATGAGGGACTTAACTGTGGGTTTTACCACAACACAAACCTGGTTGTGTTCCAGTTTTTCTGAGCTGATATCTGTGTCTTGTTACATTCAAAAGGAGAACTTAGCAGCTCATTTCAGGTTACCTTACAACTTTTACCTTGGTAGTTCCATGGTAGGAAATACCCTGATGAGTCTGAAAATCAACAAAGAAATTGGAGTCTTGGTTATAGGGAGTGTAGGTGTGTGTCTGATGAGCAAGCTTTTCCCTTGAAAGGTCAGCTTCTTGTTTTAATACACCTCTATAATCAACTTCAGGCTAATTTAAATAGTTCAGTAATATGGCAGTAAGGTGTGGAACATCTGGCATTATCCGGCACCGAGTTTAGTCGTGTCGTAGTAGCTTTAGGAAAAAAAGTCACCAGAATAGGTTTTGGGTTGGAAGTGATCTTTCAAAACCATCTCGTTCCAATCCCCTCTCATGGACAGGGACACCTTGCAGTCGACCAGGTTGTTCCAAGCCCCACCCACCTTGAATTTGAACACTCCCAGGGATGGGGCAGCCTCAACTCCTGTGGGCAACCTGTTTCCAGGGACATTTGAGATCTGTCTTTTCCATTGTTGGGTAGTGCTGCTGGCCTTGTTCCTGCCAGGGAACAAACTGGCACGTGGCTTCAGCAGTAGGTGTTCAGCTGAAGAATTGCCCCACAACAGCAGGGTGAAGGTGTGCCTGGCTCCTTGGGCCCTGCATTGGGTTAGCTGTGCACACCTGGAGGAAAAGCAGTAAAGTCACAGTACAGGTGATAGTCTCTCCTCTTTCTGTCCTTCCAGTTGTCTGTTGTTCAGAAATGTCCTTAAATAGTGACTTGAAGGGCCACTGTAAAGCTATGCCTTCTACCAACCTTTACAAATTCACCTTTGTGGCCTTTGCATGGCAGCTCATGATGTATGAAGGTCCTTCCCTTCTGACTTGCTTATGAGCACGCTCTTCATAATTTTGGTGGTAAGCTGTAATTTTGCATAGGAACATCACCATCTCCATAGGGGTAATGACTGTAGCCTCTTCTCAGTAAAAATCAGGAACTCCAATATTCTCTTTTCAGACTTAACGTGCAGCAGTGATCAGTCCATGAAAAGATGATGTGACACAACCTCCGTGGTGGCTTGTGTTCCTGGAAATGTTGCATTCCTCCCCAGGAAGGACAGAATGTCAGACACTGGGTTCAGTTCAGGTAGTGTCAGATGAGTAACATGCCAGTGGGACTGATAACGTGAGAAATGACAATTACTTGTGTGCAGAATAGTCCTGAGGATGCTTTCAGTGCTTATTGGATGGGAGGAGGCAAGAAGAGTTTTGGTCTAGCTCCTGCATGTAGGTCAGACTGTTGTGGTCCCTGTATGTACGAGAGTGGCTCAAGAGCAAATGGTTATGAAGTGGACATAAAAGTAGTTGAATTAGAGATTAAAAGATCCATGAGCATTGCAGCATTGGGATTCTTGCACGGTCATCCAGAACCATAGCAAAATGAAAACAGAGCCGTTGTTGAGATGGCAGTTCTTGTAGTCTGTTTCCCTTTGACTCCATCCAGCCAAACAGATGTCTGCTCTGATGTCTTCTGTGGCTGTTAATTAGTTTTGGCATTGCAATGTAATGAAGGTATGAGATGAAGAGCTGGGGATGGTACCTGGGTTGAGCTCTAGCTGTCGAGGTAAATAAAGGGCATCTTCTACTTAGCCTCCAAAAGGCCTTAGTGTGGTTACAGCTCGTTTTTTTGGAACAGAGTTGGAAGCTGGAGTGAGCTGTAAGTGTGCTTTGACTAGCCAGAAGGAAGAGCCAGTGGCCTGTGGTTGGTGAGTCCTCCAGGAGACCACCAGCAGTAATCCTTGGAAACAGAGACTTTGGAGCAGGAGCTGCAGTGAGTGGTTTGTCTTTACTGGACACCAGACTGAGATCTGTGGTGTGACTTGTGCCTTCAGAAATCCTGGGTGTGAGTGCTTCAACAAGCAAACTTGTAAAACAGAGAAGGTAGTCAAATGTTAGGCCCTGCTAGTCCTGGTAACCTGTCTGATCTACTGCCTTGGTGGTCTGAAATGGAGATACCCAGTGCAGTTTCAAATAGCCAGGTCACTTCAGCTTTTGGTTTGTGTGGGGGTGTGGTGGTTTTTTGTTGACTGTACTTTGTATTTTCCACTTTTGCCAGCAGTAGGGCTGTTAACAGCTCCTTCAACAGGACCCTTCTAAGTGGAGGGAAACTGCAGTCCTGTTGCTCCTTGTAAGTGAAATCTACACTTTTTTAGCCTTAGCAGAGGGGTCCTGTGGATTTCTCTGGAGTACTTTTCCACATTGCTTACCACGGTGTTCAGCTTCGGTTGCAGCAGTCCCAGATGAGGCCTCAGTGCTGAGTTGTGAAGACTTAATTCTTTGTCTTTCCTTCAGCAGTACTTTATGTACACTGCAAGCCAGCGTAAGCCAGCACTGCCACCAGAAATAGCTAGTGTAAACATCTCAGCAGTTACTCTGTGAGCTGTCCTGGGGAAGCAGAGCTGTGTGAAAACTGTCACTTTCTGTGTGTGTTTGATACTAAATTGATGTCGTGACACTATCCTGACAGTGACTGTCCCCCGCTGTCCCACCTGCCCCAGTGCAGAGCTGACAGGACTTCCATCCCCTTTCTACCACCAGCACACTCAGTGTACACTAATGTGTGAGGCTTGAGCTGTGGCATTTGAGGCTTGTTTATAACCTCGCTATATTTAACAGCAGTGGCTACAGGGGGGATGGCCTCAACAGTTTGGAGGTGGAAGGGGCATGTGCCCAGTGACCTCTTCAAGTACATGGGGTCGAGTCCATGGCACTGCATTTCCATGCTTGAGTTGCTCTGTCCTAGCCAGGCTTCCAGCCCCAGATGGGTGTGCTGGGGACAAGCTGTAATTTCTCACTTTAACATTGAGTGAGTAATCTGTTGTAAATTGGTTTTCTTAGCTTCTTGACAATGCTGAAGTGATCCAGAGGTAGGATGCTGGAGCCAGGGAAGTAGTGTGCTCGAGGCTGAGTAAGTCTCTTAAGCAGCTCATCTTACCCTTCCCTGCTTAGCTTCCATCAGCCAAGTGAGCCTGTGCCCCGTGGGAGATGTGTGCCCGGACACAGGGTAAGCACCGTGTGCCAGAGCTGGGAGGCAGTGCTGGGAGCACTGCAGCAGCTGTGCAGGGCAGTGGCAGTGTGCCTGGCCTGTGCTGGCCTAAGCTGGGTTTTAGGGTGGAGAAATTTGGTAAGTATTGATTCTTCCATTAATGAGAAACGAATTGAGCGCTCTCAAACTGGAGAAATACATTGTCTGAAGACAATGTTCAAACTCAAAAGTGCCATTGCAGTATTTATTCTGTAATAATTGCAGGCTGGGTTGTGGCAGGCATGGTGTAAATCAAACTTGCAGGGATGTGCACATACTGAATAGCAAATCTTGTGAGGGATAAGGTGCCTTATTTCCAGAGGTTTATGGCTAGTTTGATCTTTTTTAACAGCTAAGGAATTGGAAAGTCACTGACTCATCACTGGTGAATGTGGCTTTACTTTTCGTATCACTGACTTTTAACTGGTGAATGTGGCTTTACTTTTCGTAGCACATGAGACTGATTTGGATTTGGTTTTTTTGGGGGGGTGGAGGGGTATGTGTTACACTATTGACACATTTGTATATGCAGCTATAAGCCCTGCCTACACTGCAGTGATGTTTGCACATGGTAAATAGGCTGTCCTGACCTACAGGGAGTAAAACCTGTGTGGCGTATTTAACTGGTGAATGTGGCTTTACTTTTCGTAGCACATGAGACTGATTTGGATTTGGTTTTTTTGGGGGGGTGGAGGGGTATGTGTTACACTATTGACACATTTGTATATGCAGCTATAAGCCCTGCCTACACTGCAGTGATGTTTGCACATGGTAAATAGGCTGTCCTGACCTACAGGGAGTAAAACCTGTGTGGCGTAAAACTCGAGCAATGAGACTGTTTTAGGAAAAGAAATTGTTATAAAAGTTCCTTCAATCTAAGTATTTTTACTGTGTGATGTCTGTGTGGGAAGGGCATTGATTTCAAGTGTATTAAAGTATTTGAAATTTCATTTCATAGTGTTTGTGCCTGTAGCTAGAGCTGGGTAGTTCGGAGTGGCAAAGTGTTGGGAATGGAATTTAAGCTAATAACTTCTGAAAATTTTTTTCCTGATCTTAAAAAAACCGCAAACATCTTAGAGCTCAGTCTGCTTCCTTTTGGGTGGAGTTGGGTGGCAGTGGGATGATCAGTGCTTTAAAATGAAAAATCCATTGCATTAAAAAAATGCTAAACCAAACCTGTGGAATAATACCCATGGCCCAAACCTCTGATTTGGGCTTCACATCTGGATTTGCCCTTATTCTCCTGATAGGATTATTTACTTTTTTGGTTCTTCAAAGGTGTGAGTTTGGGACAGGTAGCAAAGCTGCCAGTTGACAATATTATAGCTAATTAAATGTTCACGTCTTGGGCAAATGTTAGCAATCAGTTTTAAGTAGGTGATTTTCTGGCATGTTTGCAAATGATTTTAACTAATAAAGTGCATGTGGCTGAAATCTAAACTAGTGTCTTTGCGTTTCTTTTGTGTGACTTTCATACTAACCTGACTGATGAACGAACGTGCACTGAAGGAATTGGTAAATTGTCCACTGCCGATGGCAAAGCCTTCGCAGATCCCGAGGTTCTCCGGAGACTGACGTCCTCCGTCAGCTGCGCGCTGGACGAAGCCGCCGCCGCGCTCACGCGCATGAGAGCCGAGAACAACCACAACGCAGGACAAGTGGACAAGTACGTACTGCCCAGCCCCCCCTCGGTTCCCAGCTCCAGGGTGTCAGTTCATGCTCTGCCTTTCAAATTCAGTTCACTTTGTAGCAGGCACTTGGGGATGTATGTGCTCTGCGACTAGCAGAAGCAAAGGGGTTGAATCTGAAGGTCCCATCGGGTTGTTGGCTTCCAAGGGTAAGAGAAAAGCACAAAAAGAAGTTGCTTTCTAATCTGCTGCTCTTTCTGTGTACCACACAGTTGATTTCTTATTCAGCAAAGGGTTAAATTCTTAGCTATATGAGAGTGGGTGATTGCTCTCTCATTACTACCTCAGCATACTCTGTTGGAAACTGGTGGATCTAACTCATTGTATTAAAAGTTGAAAGAGGATAGAAATACTGACAGGGCAGTGGTTTGCCCCAGGATCTTCCTCAGGAGCTTTGGGAAAAATGGAAGTATATTATCTGATAGCTTTTGATAGCTGATAATTAATGAGGAGAGCATTTAACTCCCATGATGACAGAACTGCAGATCTGCCCTATGTCTTCAAAAGGTTTCCTCTACATTGGTAATTCCAAAGCAACTTCAGAGGTCCTGAAATGTTTTCTGCTCAGACAAGTGATGCAAATAGTTCTGAAACTGTTGGGATGGAGTGAATGCATATTCTGTTGAACTTCAGACCTAGGATCAAAAATAGACAGTGCTAAGTTTCAAGCAGATTTCCTCTCAGAATTCAGACTTTGCAAAACCAGGTGCTTGCAGTAAGGGCAGTAGTCTGAGTCATTGCTCAAAAGGTAAATACAAATACAGAACAAACCTAGTTTCATTTCTTAATTGAATTACTTGTGGATCAAAACACAGAGATGGAAATATGCTGAGGAAGCAGACAAGAGGTGGAAGCAGGCCAGGTCAGGTGGCCCATGGGAACTGTGGAGACAGTGTCCAAGCATACAGGGATGTGATTAGAAAAGCCACAGCCCACCTGGAATTGAATCTGACAAAGGGCACAGAAGGCAGCAAGATACCCTAATGTGAGTATATCAGCTGCAGTGGAAAGATGTGAGCCTGCCTCAGGATGGGACAGGGAGTGCTGCCTATGCCTTGAGCTTTCAGGAATCCTCAGCCCCTGAGATGAGTGGGAAGGTCTGGACCAAGGAGGGCTTTGCCCTGGGTTGGTATCAGGTCAGGGAGCATGTAGACAGGTTGGACATAGTCCAGCAGACAGGTTCATGGACGTGATAGGATGCACCTGTGAGGACTGAAGGAACAGGTGTCTTTGCTGTTAAATCTTTTGATTTTTGTACAGAAAAAGATGTAAAGGACAGGTGACTTGGTTTGAAATGAACTGAAGTTCAGTTCAGGGTTAGCTTAGTGTCCTTTCCTAGGTGTCAGGGGAAACAACAATTGTCTTCAGTGATTAGTTAGTGCTGGTTAAAGTTGTGCTTACAGACTTCTGAGTTATTAGATGCCAGGAACTTAGGGTTTGTCTTGTCTTTTCCTCCTAACTTGTAACTACATCTTACAGATTCTTTTCTTTGAGGATCAGTTAGTAGTGTTCCATGTAGGATTTGTGTTGTTACTGCTGTTTAAAAAATGTGCAGCTCAATTAGCTTATTTCATCTATTTGAAAACTTCTGTATTGTGCTTTTGACGGTGCATGAAAAGAGACATAGTAGACCTCTGTAATACTCCACTTCTTTCTTCCTCTAAGGTGTGATTAGGCAATGTTAGGCTTTTTGTTTGAAATTGGGACATAAATTAAGACACTGGTATTTTCCATGAAAAAAAGAAAAGCTTTGGGCCAGTGCAGAGAAGGAAATAGTCCCACAACAGGAGGGACAAGGGTCAGAAGTTTCTCTTGTTGCAGTATTCATAATAGTGGTCTCTGTGATCCTTGGCTCTGTCTGCAGTAGGAATTTGCCTTGGCTCCTGTAGTCAGCAGTTTGTCACGGTCGTAGCCTCTCTGTCTCTGGTGTTCCCTGAAGTGGGAATAGCATCAGAGAGGTTTGCTGCTGTGTCTTGCAAACACCACAGAGGACTCAGCTTTGAGCACTCTTCTCTGCATCTGGTATGTATAGAGCATCTGTGAGTTAGCAACTGATGAGGACAAGAGCTAATTTAGACATAAAGGAAGGTTTTTATGTCCGTTTCACCTGTGGAAATAATATAAACTGAGAAAACACCCCAATCCATAGGACGTATTTGCTAGTAAGGTTTAGTGCTAATGTAAAGACTGAAGTGAAGACTTTGTCCTTGGCTTGGAGAGCTCCCCACCTATTGCAGATGCCTTTTGAGCTGACTGTGTGGTAACTGCTTTTGCAGTCGCAGTTTGGCAGAAGCATGCTCCGATGGGGATGTCAATGCTGTCCGGAAGCTGCTGGATGAAGGGCGAAGCGTAAATGAACACACTGAAGAAGGGGAGAGTCTCCTCTGCTTGGCCTGTTCAGAAACTATGAATTGAGTAAGTAGCAAATGCAGTCAGAACTACACCTTTATGAAGCATTGGCTGAGGGCCTTGTTTGACAGGTAAAAATTTGGGCTATTCTGGTGGTTATAATTTGTTGTTATTTAAGCAGAATGTCAGTCAATGCAGCTTATTGTGGCCTTGCAGGTATTGCTTGGTTTTTGATGGATGACGCAGTTGTATATGTCTTTACATTGAAAAGTAGCAAATGCAGTCAGAACTACACCTTTATGAAGCATTGGCTGAGGGCCTTGTTTGACAGGTAAAAATTTGGGCTATTCTGGTGGTTATAATTTGTTGTTATTTAAGCAGAATGTCAGTCAATGCAGCTTATTGTGGCCTTGCAGGTATTGCTTGGTTTTTGATGGATGACGCAGTTGTATATGTCTTTACATTGAAGGGACTTGGCTGAGGAACGAATCTTATCTTTTATGTTGTATCTACTTTTCTGGCATTGTTCTAGATGCAGTCCAGCTGTTCTGCCAAGCAGTGGGAGCTAAAGTAGCAGCAAACCCAAATACTACAATGGGTTACCTTCTAAAACTCATGTCACAGTCACTCAGTCCTTTTGTTTTAATCACATCTGTATCAACATTGCATTAATTTCTGTTAAATTTTTGGCTTTATTGCTTCTGTATCTAAGGCAGAATTCATGCTGCTTTGAAGATGTTGAGTTGATAGTTCTCAGAAAGTGCCTGGCTTCATGTTTTGGTGCCAGAAGAGAGTACAGGGAGAGAACTGATCACCTGTGAGCTGACCCAATGGGTGCTCTGGTCATTAATGCAATGACAGTGTGAGTGAGTTACCCTGTGACTTTTGAAACTGTTAGCACTGCACTAGAACTCCCTGTTGATGTTAGCATATATGAACAAATGTAGAAACCCAGGATGTCCTGCAGGAGAGCCCAGTGCAGGCAGTAAGTGCAGCAGGTCCTGTGCTTCACACTGGGGTAGGGCTGCAGGAGCCTGTCCCAGCTGGCTGAGGAGTCAGTCTCACAAGCCCCACTGAAATAAAAGCAAAAGATTGGTGTGACAATTCATTCACTGAGGTGAACCTTTCCCCTAGGTGCTGCTAGCAATGCATGCAAACGTTGAAGACCGAGGGAATAAGGGTGACATCACGCCCTTAATGGCAGCTGCCAGCGGAGGCTACGTGGATATCGTCAAACTCCTCCTTGTCCATTGTGCAGATGTCAACGCACAGTCCTCCACAGGTAACTGGGGAGCAGGAGCACAGTTGATAAGACATACAGCTCCTCTGAACATCTGTGTCTAACACTTTAATTCACAAGAAAACATGACAGGAACGGTTAAGAATAGACCAGATCCATAGAGGGTGTGTTTAGAGTCTTAACTGGCCATCTTTAAAGATGTTTTTTGATGTAAACTCCAATGGAAAGCACTGTTCCTGTGAAAACCACTGTGGTGTCAGATGACCAGAGAAATACCCAAAGTTTAGTTTTTCTCATTAGTATAATCCGCAGTTACCCAGTAAGACAACCATGGGACACATCTGATCAAGACCTGTTACTTCTGTCTGATACTTTTTGCCAAAGAGATGTTAAAATTCTTTGAGAGTGTTCTCTGTTTCTGGTGCTGGACTAATATTGCTGAGAGCATTACCCTGCAGTTGGATTCTGTTAATATTGAGACAGAATTTAAACTTTGTTCAAATTTTTGAAAAAGTCATGTCTGAACTGTGAAATGTTCTTTTTGTCATGCTGTTTAGCCATATTAAGAAAAGTACATTAAAACTGGCTAGCATTTAAAACATGAGCCATATGTGATTGTCTGTCACTTGCAGTACCAGAGTTTTAAATGATAAATTGATTTTCAGCCAGCCAGTAGAAGTTTTTCAAGGAATTACAGGATACAGTCTTAGGCAAAAACCAACCCAAACCCAAAAAAACAATACATGCATCCCTCCAACGCTGCAGTGAGCATGAAAAATTATTCCTTGATTTTTTGTGTGTGCATTTGATCTCTCTTTGTGTGCTGAAGTAGAAAACATAATAAATAAAAAAGCCAAGATCCTGATTTGTAACATTGGCTTAGCATTTTAGCATTAAAACTTTTTAATGTTGCAGTTATGTTGGGGTTTTATACCCAGCCTGGAAGGATTGTCTGGAGTAACATTGCTGTGAGGTAAAAGGCTGCTGCTGATGCTGTACTTGGTTTGTTCAGAGCTGTGAACACTGATCTCCTCTGCTGTGTTAGATGGACAGAGCTTTCATGCAGTCTCTTTCTCCGCAGGGAACACGGCGCTCACCTATGCCTGTGCTGGGGGCTTTGTGGACATAGTGAAGGTGCTACTGAAAGCTGGTGCTAACATAGAAGACCACAATGAGAATGGACATACCCCCCTGATGGAAGCAGCCAGTGCAGGGCATGTCGAGGTTGCCAGAGTTTTGCTGGAATATGGTGCAGGAATCAACACTCACTCCAACGAGTTCAAAGAAAGTGCACTTACACTCGCATGCTATAAAGGTATTGTCTCTCACCTTCTCTTGTGGTTTTGTGTAAGTTTGTTTGCTAGGAGTTATCTACCTACAGCTTCCAGCCATACTCTGAATATTTTCTGAAGAGTTTTAGAATAATGGGTTTTGGTTTTAAACTCAATGTTAGAAAAGGCTCATCCATGGCATGTTGGTATTGAGTCTCTGCTTGTGTCCAGACATGGTGGATGTGTGTTTGACATGTTGCAGATGAAAACTTATATCAGGCTATGTCCAAACTTGTTCTTTGACACATCACCACCATCCCCTTCCCCCACATTTCCCATTTCATTCCCATTCCCCTCACGAGCTGTCTGTGAATTCTGAAAACATCTCTGGTAGTTCTTTGGAAAATGGGAAGTTGGAATGAGTGTTCCTGGAATACCACATGGGGTGAAAATGCCACCATTATTACTAGACTCTCTTAGAGAGGTCTCTCCTTCTCTCACAGCTATGCAGTTTCTCTGGGAAAGGCTGTCAGGAGGCTGCTGGCTGCTTTGTGTTGGTGTTTTTTAGAGTACTACAGAAAGCATAGATTTGCGAGTTATAGAGTTTAAAGATTGTGATAGCAAACGATGAAAATCTAAAGAATTTAAGTGTGTTGTCTGTACTGCTGAAAGTTGATGTGAAATGCTTATTTTGATCTGTTTCATTTGAAGGCCATTTAGATATGGTTCGTTTTTTGCTTGAAGCTGGAGCTGATCAAGAACACAAAACAGACGAGATGCACACGGCGCTGATGGAGGCCTGCATGGTAAACACCTTTGTTTGTACTGCTCCCTCCTTGGGAGAGGGGAATGCAAGAGCTGATAAAATACAGTGAACCTTTGGTAACAAGGTGTTTTAGGGCTGCAAGTGAGGGTGTGTGTGGTTACAGGCGTCCCTGTAGCTTCCAAAGGTGGCCAGCTGCTCAGTCTAGTTGCTCACAGGGAAAGGTTATCCTAATTTTGGGGGGCGGATGTGTTTTAAATGCTGCTTGTGTGAAGTGCAGGGCTGACTGATCTGCAGTGCAGTGCAGTAGGCTGAGCCCAAGTCAATGGGTTTTGGGTTTTTCTCAGCCTAAGACTTAGTTTTCCACCTTTGTCTTTATAAATAAGGTGTCTCAGAGCACTGTGGAATGAGCCTTCCAGAAGAGCACTGATTCCTGTGTTACACTTGTCCTTTCACAACAGCAGAAGTGTTTTGCATGGAGAGAAGGCTTGCTCTCTTCTAGGTTTCTGTAAAAGTGGTTGTGAGATTTTTCTTTTGACCTACCATTTTGTTTTCGGAAGTAATGTAGTTCTTAATTCTTGGGCAGCTCATAATTTCAAAGCAGCCATTGAGGAAAAACTTACCTTTCCAAGAGCATCATCTTAATCAAGATTGTGCCATTGTATCACATCATATCTGCAACCATTTTTGTCCAGACCTTGGGTGACCTTTTATCTATTCTTCAAGCTGGGGAACTTTGAAGAGAGATCAGGAAGCTTGTTTCCATGGGAAGCACAATGAACAGGGGGAAGCTGATTTTGCTCCCAGTAGCCTATAGTCTTTAGAAGACAGGCTGCAGTGTTTCTCCAGTCTCCTCAGAGCTGGAGGGGATCGAGTGTTCCTTCAGTGCAGTTGTGAGGTGGTGATGCAAGAGACCAAGGTCAGATCACACCGTCGCAAGCTGTGTTGAAGTCTTCCGACAGTGAGCTGGTAATAGTATCCTTGAATAGCCTTCCCTGTAGGAGCGTCTGGTGCCAACAAGGAGTTTAGAAGGACACAGTTGCAGTGGGTGTATGCTGTCACCTAAAGGTGAATGCATGACTACAGACGAAAGGTTTAATCAGCCCATTGTTCTCTTTAGGTTGGGCTTCTTGTTTGCCTTTTTTTTTTCTTTCCTGTTGAAACAGTCTGAGTACTGTCTTGACTTGCAGACTGTGAAGTGTCTCACTTGGGGAGGACAGTTGTGTGAGGTTTGTCTGCATGGTTTTGGCTCTTAGGTGTTTTAAACTAGGTGTTCTGACATTATGGAGTGTGTATTGACCTTTAAAAGCAACAGTGAGGAAACTGAACCTTTGAAGTCCCAACTCCACAACAAGGAATTTGTTCTTGTTATCATTTGGCTGCACCTTTGCAGAGGGGAACTGTTTCACCAAATTGTTGTGACTGTTCCCAGTCCTCACCTCTTTCCATCTAACGAGTGCAGCAGGTACAGGAAGCTGAGATGTCCGGTCCCTGATCACCAGTTCTGTTCTAAGTGCTTCTGAGTTGTGGTGTGTTTTGGTCAGGACAGAGAGCCACACCTAGGGTAATGCCTTTAATGAGGTGGCTGTTGGCTCCTGGCCACCTTCTCTCCTGTCTTTAATGTGCAGCCTTGATTGCTGTTGGTCTCCGGTTACTTATGACCTGCTTCGTGGTCAGCTTAAGTGTTGACTTGGAGTTGCATGTTTGATCTCCCTCTTGCCCCTCTTTTCTGTAGTTCTGTGTTACCTGTTTGACTTACTGGCTGACAGTTCTGGTGAGATCAGAACAAGGAGCTGGTAGTTCATCTGAGGTTGCTGCTGTTAATACATCAGAAGTTCTTTAATTTGGGGAATGCGTGGAATTCTGAGCTTTATAAATGACCCCTGGGTATCAGTGCTCTAGCTTAGACAGCTTGGGCTTGAACCTTGGATAGAGAGGTCTTCTAATGTATTTTTTTCCTTTAATATTGCACAACTGTATTTAAGTGTCCTTCCAAGGATGCAGTGTAAAAAAAATCAGGTATTTCCCACTGCAATTGGCCCTTTACTGTCATAATCAAACCATCATAAGTAAACAGACCCTGTCTTTTTAGGTTCACACCTAGTGTGACAGTGGTTGCAACTTGCAGCATCAGGTGAGTTCAGTGATTTGTGACTCGTGTCCCCGTGTTGCAGGATGGCCATGTGGAGGTGGCACGCTTGCTCCTGGACAGCGGCGCTCAGGTGAACATGCCTGCGGATTCCTTCGAATCCCCACTCACTCTGGCTGCTTGTGGGGGGCACGTGGAGTTGGCAGCTCTTCTGATCGAACGGGGAGCCAACCTGGAGGAGGTGAATGATGAAGGCTACACACCTCTGATGGAAGCTGCCCGGGAAGGCCACGAGGAGATGGTGGCCTTGCTGCTGGCACAAGGTGAGATCCTATGGTGACTGAGTGCTCCTGATGTAGGATGCAGTGGGATCATTTGCCATCAGGAATCCTGTGCACACTCCTCTGGTGTAGTGTGTGGCTGGCACTGCTGTACCCACAGAGCAAGGCTCACACCCCCAAACTGCTGTGGGGTTATGAGCATTCACCTTCCCACCCCGTGCTGGCCAGGCCAGTAATGGCTGTTTTGTCTCACAGGGGCAAACATAAATGCACAGACAGAAGAAACACAGGAAACAGCCCTGACCCTGGCATGCTGTGGAGGCTTTTCTGAGGTTGCTGACTTCCTTATTAAGGCAGGAGCTGATATAGAACTTGGTTGCTCAACACCTTTGATGGAGGCTGCTCAAGAGGGTCATCTTGAATTGGTGAAATACTTGCTGGCAGCAGGTATGTGTTCAGTACAAACGAACTGTCCCACAGATACAGACTTGATGTTCTTTATGATTTAGAAGATACTTGGGTGCTTCCTCCCCCTGAAAGGTGGGCTGTCACACCTGGGCTTGATGGTGTCAGTGTTGTAGCAAGAAGCTATATGTTCAAATACCTTAGCAAGAAGGAAAAAGCATATGTTGCACCTCGATGCTGTTTGATACTGTTAACAGAGAAAAGTGCCTCTTGGAGCACTCAATCCTGTTCTGTGTGTCAAAAGCATCCCTGATCATTAGGAACATTGTTTCCAGCTGGGACAAAACGTTGGTACAGATCATGCTTGGTTTTGCATGCTGCTCCAGCTTCAGCTGAACCTAGTTACCTGCACTGGGCTCCCTGAATAACCAGTTCATTAGGAATTGTGCCCCTGGGAGTAGTGTGCAAGACAGATTCTGGAGTGTGCTGAATTTCTGTGATGAATAAGTCTTACTGCACCATTATACAGTAGTAAAACTTAAATCTTGCTGGAGCTGGGGCAAAATGATGCTTCAGCATTCAGCTGTCAGTTTTAAGTTAGTAGAGCCGAAAGTGTAGTAATTCTGCTTAAAATAATAATAAAGTGGAGCTACATTTTGGAAATCTTCCTTGTTGCGGAAGGCGATTTATTTGTATGTTCTTTTCTAAGAATAAGCATAAAATTGTCTGGATTTGTAATTTTAGAAAGCAAAGCTCCCTGCTCATCGAGGGACAGTGACAACTGTGCCTCTTTGTGCAGTGACACCAGCATGTGACACCTGTCACCAGCTCCCTCGGAACGCTCGCTGCTTTGCACTTCACTGCTGATAGCATAGAAAGTTAATTGAGGAGCCTTGTTTTGGCACCAGGGACTCTCTAAATATATCTCACACCTTGAAAATAAGAAAATGGCTAATCACATTGGCATTTCTTTTTTTTAAGAATAATGTGTTCCCTATTAGGAACCATGCACAGTTCTCACAGAGCTGCTGTGTGTGAAGCTGGGCAAAGTATTTCAGCAGAATGTTTTTAAAGCAGAAAGAAAGGAAATTTGTAGAAGTGTATGGTTTTGTTGTATTAATCCTAATTCAGTAACATGCATTTTGTCTGGTTTCTCTTGGCATGCAGCTCTGGGTCAAATGGATAGTCTAGACAACTGTCTGGATTCACTTTTATTTGCTGTAACAACTGAAATCCTTCTTGCTGCAGAGGGATTGTAGGAATAAGGGAACATATAGGTTTAAGTGCTTAGATTGTCAGTCATGCTTTTTCCAAGCCTTGGTTTATCCCCTCTCCTCAGAGTATTTTTACTAGGAGTGCAGTTTTTGACCATGAGAGCAGTGCCCATGGGCTGTGCAGGCTGTTGGTGTGTAGGATATAGCTGTTGTCAGAGACTTTTGTGTTTATCTGATATGAAATACTTGATAAGGACATGTCCAGTAATAAAAAATTGTTGTGTTTGTAGGAGCTAATGTTCATGCCACTACAGCAACAGGAGATACAGCTCTGACCTATGCCTGTGAAAATGGACACACAGATGTGGCAGATGTGTTGCTTCAGGCTGGTGCTGATCTGGTAAGTCTTCCACTGCATCTGTGGGGAAAGTGCTTTGGTTTCAAACTGTGTGGCAGAGCCTGTGTGCTCAGAGAGCAGGGAGGCAAGTTTAGCAATTGAGATTAATATATGGCTGTGAAAAGAGGCATGAAAGAAGCTCTTTCCAAAGCCTCCATATTTTGTTGGGTCTGAAAAATAAAGGTTCTTACGAGTAATCTTTCATGTGTTAGTGAAGAGCTGTAGGTGTAGCTTTTGCACGTGTGACAGTTGATTAGCTTCATTTCAGTATAATCCATAAGTGTAATTGTTTAGCAGGATATATTTGTGTTCACTTTAATCATTATGGTAATTTAGTATTCCCAGACTCTTGTGGATTAGTTCACCTGTTCCACTGCTCTGAATTTAAATGTTTTGGTATTAGGAGCCTACTGCTTTTCTATTTCAGTGTTAGTCTCTGAACACTGCCAGTCTCTTAACTTTTGCAAGTCACAGCACACAGACCCCAAACAAAGCACTGCCTTGTAAATGACCAGCACAATCTGATCTCTTTTCCTTCTGCTAACCCCTGGGTTTAGCCTATTGCTTTCCCTGTGTTTATTTTCTGTAATTAATCAAAGTTGTTAACATAATTGTCTTTTTTCATGTTATGTAGCAGGAGACCTGAAACTGCCTCTTCACCAGCTACAGGGATGTAATGTTTGGCTTCTGATCAGTAAAAGCAACTGATCTGTTACTCTTACAAAGTAGTTTAGGAGCCTTATGTCAAACAAGGCTTAACCAGGGAAGATTGTTCCTTTGATTGCATTTTTGTTTTTTCTGCCACCATCTTCCTTCCCCCCTCCTCCTCCCCCAAGTACTTGTTTATATAAAGGTGTAACCCATGGAGTGTCTTATTATGTGGCTTGTGGATGTCAGCATCTAGTTCTGGTCACTATTGCTGAGGGCAGTCTTGGGTCTCTCTAAAGTAAAGGTTTATTTTGCTGCATTTTCTTGTACTGCCAATCAAATGTGGAGCAGGCAGGGAAAATAGAGTAAGGAAGCAAGGGAAATTTGTTTTGGAAGGAAAACCTGCCATGTAAATCTGCCAGTTGTGAGTTCTGATTGTAGGTAAATGGGGAAATGCGTGCAAAATGGCAGCAGTACTGGTGGCAGGTGCCTCAGATTTGAAGCAGTTTCTGTTCAAACCTCTGTGTTGCTTTGCTTTATTCCAAGTTGTTTTGAAGAGGTTTGTTGTCTTTGTCAGTGGCTGAGGAAGGGCTCTGAAGGGTGTTGCTTTACTGCTGGGTATGGAAAAGCTTCTCTGGCAGTACTGTGGGGGATTATTCTTCTAGATTTCAATTGTCATTTAAATGAGTTTAGATGATTCCACCAAGTTGTCCCAGGAAGAGAGAATTGAATGAAGATCTGGACTGAGACCCGTGTTTGGTCTGTCTTCATTTGGCCAGTTAATTTTGATCTCCTGCTGCTGATCAGACAGAATAATTGAAAGTACATCTCCATTTCTTTTCTACCCTTTTTCATCCTGCAGCTTCTGTCTTGCGATTGCTTTCAGTGATGTTCTGTTGTTTTCCACAAACTCATTATCCCTGAGGTTTCGGTCACAGTCACTGAGGAGCTGGACATACACACCTTACCCTGCTGGGGAGCAGTCCTTTCTCAGGAAAATACTGGTTATGTCCTAAACAGTAAATCAAAACAGGGCTGCAGTCTGCTCTGATTGCAAGGACAAATGGCACTCACTGATTCTAGACTGAGGAAAGAAAGTTGATCTTTCTTTCCCAGATGCTCTTGAGTTAAAGGAACAATAAACACTGAATGTCAAGATCTGTTGTGATCAGTTCTCCCGTTTCTTCCCAATTCAGAGACTTTATTCTGTATTTGGAAAGCATATAATGTGTTTTAAGATGTCAAATCTTTCTTGACTTCTGGAGTCTCTCCTCAGTTGTGAGGAGCTCTGAACTGAGTGGAATTTGAGGTACAGACTTTGAGCCTGCAGGGATGGAGAGGAGCCTCTGATGCTGGATTAGCCAAATGGGCAGAGGGCAGGAGGTGTCTCTGTTTCCTGTGCTGTGCTTATTGAAAACAGACATCTTCCAGCTGTGCTGGAGATACCCAGCTCACTCTGCTGAACTGACTCCTATGTGTTGCTCATGTGCAGTTGAGGTTTTCTCAGTCTCAAAATAGACCCTTGAGCTAGAGTTTGAGCATGTTTTACTGTGAGGGTGCACAAGCAGTGGCACAGGTTGCCCAGAGTGTTCATTACCACCACTTCTCAGCACAAACTGGGTGTTGTTTTAGCAAGTGAGAATGGGAACTGTTCTTTTCAGGGTCTGATCCTCTGGCCTAGATATCAAACTTGTAGTTCAGTTCAGGAAACAGTGAAGGTCTTGAGAGTTCTGTTAGACTGATTAAACAATGTGGCTTTGTAAGAACCAGGAGAACTGAAAGCAGGTGATGGCTGGAATGAACTTTCTTCAGTTTGTGGTTAATTTTTCCTTAAAGCTCTGCAGTGGCAAATGGAACTAGAATTGAGCAGTGTTCAGAGTACACATTCAGCTGTGTCTGTCTGCTGGAGAGCTGCTCAGTCCTCTGTGGTACTTGGATGAACTTGTATCTCCTTGTGACTAATTGTTCATGAAGCCTGGTTGTTAACAATTCCTCAGTGCTTTTCTGATGCCTTTGTTTAAGGCATCTGTCTGTGCCATGTCCTTACAGGGACAAAGTTGGCCTGTCAAAATCTGTAGCAAAACTAGCTGGCAGGCCGACACCTTTCCTCGTTAATGTATGCACTTTGAAATCAACTTGCTTTTGCCAAGGATATGAATGACTTAATCTGAAGCACATCTGAAGCCTTCAGCCTGTGATCCCATCTGTGCTGTGTTGCATTCTAGTTCCTCTGTTGCCTGCAGGACTTGGAGGCAATCAGGGTCTCAGTCCACTTGCTGGAGCTCAAACTCAATGTAAATTTTACTTGTTTGCAAAGTTGGTGGAGACAGAACACCTACTTTAGATTTTTGTGATTCATAGGAGTAAAATATTTGAGATGGAACTCTGAAATGTGAATTGATAAAAGCATCTGGGCAAGCATCAGGTGAGGTTAGCCTTTGATGCTTGTAAGCTGCAGCCTCAGGATAGATGCTAACAACAAGCATGGCTTCAAGGCATCTCAGTCTCTTGAAAAATAGAGACTCACTGTGTGGTCTAGACATGGCATCTTTATCCTGCATTTTCCCTTCCCAGCCCTGTTGGGTTTTCTAAAGCTCTGGTTTTTGAAGAGCAGTATCTCAACCTTCCCAAGTGCAGCAGATTAGCTTGTTGAGTCTGTTAGCACAAGCAGCCATTGAAACCTGTTAGTACTTATCTGGCTTCCCATAGGTGTTCACTTGAAACTAGGGGCCTAGGTGAGTTTTTAGGTGCCTCTGAAGTGCTGGTTTGCCACATCTCTTAGGAAGGTTATTTGGGACACTTAGGTTGGTGATTGCTGGAATAGGAGTTCAATCCTGAAAATTAGCAGAGTGGCCTAGTGTTAGGGACTGCATAATTTGGCTATTGTTTTGCATCAGAAACTTTCTCTAGATCATTTTGCTTAGAATGATATTTAGATTTCTGTTCAATATTTGCTGTTATGGATGAGGGAGGCTTGTTGAAGAATTGAAGGGGGCAGCTGGATCTTTACTTTGAAAATGCAGATTTTGTTCCTGAACTTTTAAATAATATATGACATTGAAAACAAACTCAAAGAAACCCCTATCCTAGTGAATCATACAACCAGGAATGTTTGTGAACCAAGGAGAATTATGTGTGGGGGAAGCCCTTACGTAGCTCCTCTTGGAATTGCCTAAACCAGAGAACTCAAAATCATGAATTAAAAATGTTGTGAGATGCTCCTGATGACTCTTCTGCTCTACTCTTGGGAGCATTGATTTTTCTAGAAAGCACATAATTACTGCTGTCTGGAATCTCATCTCTTCTTTGAGTCTTGGTGGAAAAGGTGCAGACAGTGTAAACTCCTGCCTGATCTGGGGAACACTCACTTTCCTTCTCCTTCTTGTCTGTTACCCATATCCACAGAAAATTCTTCTCAGGTGTTCTTGCTACCCCAGCAGAATTATTAGGAGAACACATCTCCCAGGGGTTTAGAGAATGGCTTTCCAAAGCTGGCAGAGGTGTTCTCCTTTCTCCCTCTTTCTGGTCATACTAACTGCCATATTTCTCAGGGTTGGAGCAGTGACAAGAAACAGGATAGTGTGGTGAGTCCTCCAGTGCAGACAGCCAGGGGAACTGTCTTTGGAGACGAGTTTGCTGCATTTTGTTCTTGTAAAATAAGCATTTGGATGTACTTCATATAAACACAAAGAAGCACTACATTGGAAAGGTAATGGGGGATGCTTTGGGGCAGCCTTCATGTTCTCTGTCTTGATTTTAATTATCTACTGCAGCTAAACATAGATATATAATCCTTAAAATTTAAGATTATTCCAGGTAAAGGAAAAGGTGCAAGTAGACAAAGGCTCACCTTCTTATTTTGGCTTGTTCCTAATGTCTTCTTGAGGTGATGCTGTCTGCTAGCCATTTATTAAGGCTAAAGAGAGTGCTGAAGTCAGAGAACTCATTTCAGCTTAAAATAAAACATGCGTTTCTGTCTTCCAATGTGAAAAATACCATCAAGATGCCGTAAGTTTTGAAGATCTACAACAGGTGGGCACACAAATGGTTTGGTTTGGCTGGACTGATGGTGTATATGGTGCTGCAGGGATTGGGAGTGTAGAGTAGCTGGGGATCAAGTTCTGCCTGCCTGAGGAAGTGACAGTTGGTTAAACTGGGCAGAATCCCTGCACTGCATTTAAATGAGGAAGCCTCCCAGCATCCACGTTTAAGACTTCCAACAGTGAAGTCTGTTAGGAAGGAGCATGTTGCAAATAACCATACCTTGCTGCTAGTTGTCTGCAATGTTACATCCAAATGGCTTTTCACTGCTTGAATGTAGCTAGGGTGACCTAAAATAAAGTTTGCATCTTGCCATCTTTGCATCAGTGAGGATTTAGAACTGTGTTGGGGCAGCACTGTTGAGGTCCTGCTCAGAGCAGGGTGGTGGTCAGGAGTTCTGTGCATCTGCAGCTGCTTTGGGAGTGATGTGCTGGTGGAATCAGGGGTTTGCTGTGCTTCAGGCACAGCCTCTGGCTGTTTAGGATCTATTGGCAGTGGCTGGGGAAAGAAAAACTATGCCAAATACCAGAGTTAAGCATCAGAGCTCAAGGGTATGCTACTAATTCTTGCACATCATAGGGCCACATGGTAACAGAATTAGCTTTACATGTGCTGCAAATATTTCTGCCATGCAGACAATCCAGAAGCATGCAGATACTTATTGACAGCTAAGCAGTCATTTTCCTGGGAGGGGAGTCTTAATTATTAGCAAAAAGGAAAAGAGAAAGATGTGACTTCAGTAGTATGTCTGTAAGGTTTCCTGTCTGCCTGCGTGAGCTCGTGTGTTACAGTACCGAGTGAGCAGAGAAATGGGAGCACCAGGGTGGGGTGTGTTAAAGCAGTGGTGGACAGTAACACAGAGCTCTTGTGACAGCACGGGAGCAGAGGGGGAGTGTAACCCCTGCAGTGAGGGATGGGCTTGGATTGCTGCACGGGGCAAGTCTCCAACAGCAGATCCAGTTGAGAGGTTTCATCGTCGAATGTATGAACAGAAAACTAACGTCATGTGCAGCTTGCAAGCAAAGCAAGCCATATGTCAAAGGACATATGCAGAGCTTTCAGGAATACTGAAACTATGGGAAGGAGTTGATTGGTTCTGTCAAAATCTCTTCTTGTCTCTTTATATTTGTAAATATCAATGTCATCCACTGTCTGTACTAAATGTTAACTTTCACTGTCAGATATACATGCAGTTACAAAGTAAACTGAATTTAGAGCTTGGCTTCCCAGATGTTTGATGAAAAGACCCACAGTCCCAGTATGTTATTGATCAGACTGAACACTATCAAGTGTAGGATAATACTGAATACAGAATGCACATACAAACGCTCCCAGGAAGATACTGTTCTCTCCCCTTGTTCTGTGGAAGGGTTGATATCATTAGTCAGCATTCTTTGTGGTATTGATCATGTCTACATAGCAGGCACATTGTCTAGTTCTGTAACTGCTCTAACACAGTCGCATTCAACCACATCTTTCCAGTGTTCAGAAACTTTTTTTTAATTGGAAAATTGTTCTTGTTGTCTATTCCCTCTTCATTTGTTTGCATCATCCTTTTGCTGTCTTCCTGCTTTATTCTCCAGCCCTCTTAGAGACTTCTTGTTACCTGCAGTGATGTGTCTCATTTTTATTAGTGATCCTCTTCAGCATGTTTTAAAAACATTGTCTGCACTTGAGCCATTATTGCAGCATGTGGCAGCTCCAAACTGCTGCACAGCAGTTGGTGGTTATTGTGATGCTGGGTGACGTTTATGTGAAATACTCACCCTTTCTGAGGAGAAAAGTTACTGTTCCTATCTATGTTATGCATTCAAACACTTGAAAAGGGGTGTGTAAGTAGGGAAGTGTCCTGGTGTGGTACCAGTGAGGATGTGGTCCTAACACTTTTTGACAGTGTGATGTAGTATTTAAGGTACCATGACAATCGATTCCAGTCAGTTTGTATTTATTACAGTCAGCTTATAACGTAGATCTTCTACAGAGACAGGTAATTCTGGTCCCATCACAAGGTGCTTCTGAAGCTGAAACAATGCTACAATTTTTGCCCATTTATCCATCTCTTATTTCCTCTCTAGGAGCACGAATCCGAAGGTGGGAGAACCCCACTCATGAAGGCTGCGCGAGCTGGTCATTTATGCACTGTGCAATTCCTTATTAGCAAAGGTAAACCACTGGTTTAAATAACTAATTAAGAGCCTTAAAATGCCACTTTACAGTTCTGCATGTTTGTGATCCATATTCAGAATTACTCTGGTTATGTGTACATGAGCATTTGTCAAACCCTTAAAAGTGTTTTCAATTTCATGTAGTTCACAATAGAATGAATCACAAAATATTTTGCTAGTTGCTCTTTCTACTCTGTTATATAGATGAATAAAGAGATTTGAAGTACAGCAAGTATTTTCAGTTTCTTAAGAGAAGCACTCCCTCCTTCAGGATGAACACACCAAGTACTGCCTGAAGCAGCAGCAGTTGCACCACACAGTGATGCTGCTCAGTGCTTAGAGTGAACACTTGGAAGTTGTGCTTTGTGCACCATGTGTTCCCTCTCTCTTGGCACTCACGAGGCCACCGTAGCTGTCACAGCAGCGTTGCCTTTACAAGATGAGGAGGATTTATAGAAGCCAATCGTTTACTCAAAATCGCTTGCTTTTACCCTAGAAGTGTGCATGAAGTAGCAAGATTAGAAGAGCGAAGTTTACCTGTTCCACTAGATGCTGTACTTGTTGATGCTTTCCTTTGGAAAGACTTTCCTTGTGTTTAATTCTGAGGTCTTCTCTTTGTAGGTGCCAACGTGAACAGGGCTACAGCTAACAATGACCACACGGTGGTGTCCCTGGCCTGTGCTGGAGGTCACCTGGCTGTGGTGGAGCTGCTCCTGGCTCACGGGGCTGATCCTACTCACCGGCTCAAGGTACTCACAACTGTCATTTATCATAGGCACTGAAAGAACCACATAGCTGATTTTAAGGGAGGAGTAAATTTGCAAATTTAAATGGTCTGATTCATATCTTATGTGCAAAACTCATCATCTGGCTTTTTATTTCCAAAATCTCATTTCAGGATGGCTCAACAATGCTCATTGAAGCTGCCAAGGGAGGACACACAAATGTTGTTTCTTACTTGCTGGATTACCCCAACAATGTTCTGTCGGTTCCTGCAGCAGACTTGTCTCAGCTCACACCTCCATCTCAGGATCAGTCTCAGGTAAGACATAAGGGGGGTTTTTAAAATAGCACCATGAATGTTGCACAGAAGCACTTCCTTAGCAGGTGATTTACTTGTGAACATACAGTGGAAGGAATTATAGAGAGTCTTCACACATGAGAATGGCAGAGTGTGAGAGAATTGGTTGGTGTCACCTGCAGGGGACCTGAAGAGCATGAGAACTTTGTTCCCTTTTCATACATTGGGCAGGATAGTCCCAAACCTTAGGATCTCAAAAGAATGTTGTTTCCTTGTCAGGCTTTGCTTGGTACTTCGTTTCACCAGTTCTAACCCCTCTCAGCACCCCTCAAATGGTGCTGCTGATTTTATTTGTCATCAGAGGAAATATATTGTATAAATTCAGAGCTCTGCAGGCCAGGGACATTGCTTTCCAGTGGAGTTAGTTGATCAAAAGCCTAAAGATGTTAACAGTTTTCCAGCCAACACAGCCCAGAGTTTTGTGCAGATTAACCCAGTGAACTTTGACATATTACCCACAGTAAAACAGCACAGGTCACACCAAGAGGTAGCATAGCACGCACAGTTTGGGAAGAGTGGACTGGAGGTCTGCTGTAGATGTGTGTTGTTATATTAACACTTCAGGATGTGGTCCATGACCTGAGTGTGTTCTGTGCCTTTGTTTGAAGGTTCCCCGTGTCCCAGTGCATACACTCGCCATGGTTGTACCTCCCCAGGAACCTGACAGAACTCCTCAAGAGAACTCCCCACCTCTGTTGGGAGTGGTGAAAGGTCAGTATGTAGCCACCCAGAGAACATACAAAGCTGATAGACTGGGGACCATTTTCTTAGAGCTGATATATGGTGTAGTCCACTCCATCAATTCTTGAACACGTCTAATGAAGCATAACTTAAAAGTATTTCACATAGTGCATAGTTTTTTGCTTATTTTCTTGTATTCTACAGTATAGCAACTCTGGTTATTCTAATCTTAATCCAATTCGTTAGAGTTGTGCTTATTCTAATTTTTTTGGAAGAAAATGCCTGTGCTAACTGCCACAGTGCAGACTGATAAAAAGGTTAATGAACTCTAGGTGTGGTGTTAACTTTTGAGTGTTGTACCATTGGTCATCTAGAATAGTTGCAGCTATTATCCATGAACTTGGTATATCAACTTTTTTCTGTTCCAACAGTAGCAATGGAAACATGTTGGCACTGTACAATGCCTGCACAGGTCTACTTGCAGGAGAGTTTTTGTTGTGTTAGTAATAGTTCTCTTGTAAGCAATCATTACTTCAGGGTTTTTGCTTTGAACATGGTTGAACTGACTGGTTAAAACTACTTGCAGTAGTGGCAATTAGAGAGTTTGTTGCCAGCTGTGTATTCTATAAGAAACTCCTCACATCAGCTCAGAAAGAGAAGCAGATTCTCAAGTGCAAAGTTACAAACTGCAGCTCCTAAGATCTACAGTGTTGGACAGGGATCTTAAATGTTACAGTATCCAAAGCTCTGTTAGCTAGGTCTGCTTAATTCCTATGTTTGAGGAAGCACTGAGCATTTCCAGAACAAAAACCACACAAAAACCCCTTAGGGGCACAAATGGAGAGAGGAAAACAATGTGTACCTGCTGGTGTCTGAGTATGCAGCCATACCTCTATGCATATGCCATGTGTGTGACCTCTCAGATGCATTCACTGTCTTGTTTCCTAGGACGTGCAACACTTGGTATTTTTGGATTTCATAAGAATGAGTACCAACAAATGAAAAGAGCATCCAGCCTCTGGTTCAAATAAACCAGCACAAAGCTATATATCAGCATGTGTGCCCTTCCAGTTCAATACCTGTTACCACTGCAGAGTGGGTTACTGTTCTGGGAGCACATTCTGTGGTGCATGGGAATCAACGAGGGATTAGTTGATCCTGAGTCAGAAGTTAAAAGTTTCAAAGTTTCATGTTATTTAATCAAATTATGAAAATCACATAGTAGTCTAGGAAGTAGCTGTCATTCTAAACACCTTATTGCAGATGTCAGCACGTCCTTAGGGGTTTTTTTTGCAGCACTGTGGGTTTGGGGCTGGCCCAGGGAGATCTCATTGTTCACAGTGGTTCAGGACATGCTTCATGCATGTCAGCAAAACTCCTCTGTGCTGTGTTGCAGGAGGTGCAGCAGTCCCAAATGTGATGTTGGGCTGATGAAGCATTCCCAAAAACTGTGTGCAAAGCTCTTGTGTATCTCAGATCTTTAGGGGGAGAATGGTGTCTTTGTGCTAAGCACTGTGCTCACTGCAGTGCAGGGGCTGTGCTGTGCTGAGCTGCCGTTGGGAACTTGTAATGCACACGTGGCTTTCATTCACCAAATTTCCACCACTAAACCTCTCGGGGCAGAAGAGCAGGAGAGTCGTGGTGTGTTTGTTATTTCCAAGGCAGGGGGAGCAGCCAAGTTCTTGTGTAACAAAATGGTTTATCCTGGGGAGGACAAATTGCTTGTCTTCAGTTAGAAGTAGCCCCTGAGTTTGTCTAGAAACTCTGAACTACTCAGAGGCAGGAGAGCTGCACTTTGCCTCCCCAGCCTCAGTGCAGTTGGGTTTTTAGGGACCTGTGTGAGTCTTGCAAGAAATACTATAGTGACACCTTGTTTTCTGAAGAGTTCTTGGCAAGTCAAGTGTAAAACTAGAACACTTTTAAGTGTTCTTGCTACAATTTGGTTATGGCATGAGGTTTTTCAAGAGGGATTTATGGTATAACTTTGAATTTCGTTATTATTCTTCAATAAAGCAAGAAGGTATATGAGATCATTACCATTTGAATAATTACTTTGGCAAAGGATTTAATACCAATGTTTAGCCACTGAAAAGGGAAACATTTCAGAGCTGAGAGTGGATCTAGAGAGGCTTAGTTAAAGGTGACACTCCCAAGATGGTAACTTGGAAAGAATTGAAGAAAAATCAAGTGAAAGAAAAGAAGCAGAAGTAGTTCATGGGACTGACTAGGCCTCAACTCCTACCTGCTTAGGAAGGATGGGGTTTAGTGCACTATATTTAGCGTGTGTCTGTTGTCTGTGTAAAAGTGAAATCTCAGTGCAGTTCAGCTCTTTGTGCTTCTGTGGGGAGAGGCAGGAGATCCCTTGGTGGATTCTACCTGCTGCTCCCTTTGCAGAGCATGGGCAGGATTGCTCAGCACCAATTCTGGTGCAGCAGCTCAGCAGAAGTTTTTTTGGGTAGAAAAGCCAACTGTGCTGTTTCTGCAGGTCTCTCCTGAGGGCTGTCCAGTGCAGACTGTACTGCACCTCCACGTGCTTCCATGGGGAAAGGGGCTCAGGGCCCAGCACAGGACATGGTCCAAAGGAATGCTGTTGGAAATAAGCATAAGTAATAGTGCTGCTGTTGATAATCCTGACTAGTTTGTCAATGCAAGCTACTGGCTCCTGAGAGCAGGCTTGGCAGCACTGTGGTGCTGTGTGAGCCTGTGGGGAGTGCAGGGCTGGAGCCCAGGGCATGTTATAGGCCATCGTTGAAAACCAACATGCTGGTGCAGCAAGGGATGCTCAGGGAGTTACTCTGAAATTGTGCTTACAAATGAACTAATTGGCCTTAAGTGAGCACTTAAAACCTGTCAGCATGCTGTCATTAGACTCTTCCACTGCTGGTTTTAAGTGGGCAGGAACTTGCAGGGCTCTCATTTGGGGTTTTTAGAATTCCACAAGACCTGATAGACTTACTCAGGTGAACGCTGCCCACATCTGCCTTTGATCCCTGTGAAGGAGACCAGAGACCTTAGAGTTGAGTAGTACTTTTGGATCTGTAAGCTTTCTAAGTTAGACCTTCAGTATATGGTATTTCCTGGATTCCCATGCTAAATCTAACAGTCTGATGATGTGGAGAAAGAAAAGAACACCAAACTCTGTAACTTCAATAGCTACAAATTCAGTAAATATCTTTCGCTCTGATATCTGACTTTTATGCCAAATACCGCGTTACACCTGGCAGAGATCTCGTGCATTGTGTGATTTCATTGAGATATGGGCCAGGTTAACAGTCAAACGGAGAAATTATGTGGCTTTCATTGAGATGAAGGCATTAGTAAGACAAGGTGATATTCCTGCTTTTCCAGCTTTTGCCTTCTGACTCCTTCCAGACTTCTCTACTCCACAGCCTGTTTGTTGTTTCGTGCACTTCGTCATCTTCTGATCAACTCTTGCCATTTCCTTCTGGAAATTTCCTGCCTGGGTCAGCAGCTGGCAGTTCCAGGATGAGTTCCCAAGGGAGATTGCACTGTCCATGCCTCATGGCTTTTGAAGTTCACTAATAATGTTTTGGAGACTTAAAGATTTGTTGCTCTTTTATGCAACTCCTCAGCAGTGCAGGCAGGTGGTTTAGCACCAAGACATGTATAGGTCCCCAAGAGCACAGGTGTGTAACAGTCTTCTCATGGTGATCAGTGAAATTCTGCTCCTTTGAAGCTTCAGTCACCTGCTTGCTACCAGCTAATTTAATTGCATCTCAGTAATTTTCCAGTTAGATACCATGAAGCCACCAGAGGAGACTTGGGAAGAAGACCAAGATTGGAAAGTAACTCAAATTATTGAATTGCTGAAAATTGAGTTCAGTTTGGCCTGGTTTCAGCTGTGTAACCATTGCCTGTTGGATGGCATTACAACCATTCCCTGCAATTTTCCATAGAAACAGCTGCAGGAGTGATGAAGACTGGCAAATGTACTTCATGGTTCCAGTGGGAACACAGTGAACATACAAACTCATCACTCAGCCTTCCACCAATTGTCCTCCTCTTTATCAAGAGGAATTCAGTATGTATTAAAAGCCATGTGGCAGATGAATTTACATGGGAAAAGTAGGCTTTTTTTTTTTTTTTGCCAAATTAGCCAATTTGTACTTTGTATTTTTATATCTATATGAAGAAACTGACTTTTTCTCCAGGTTCTTATTGCTGAATTTCTCACTGCTATGAATTAGAATTAAATACAGAATTTTCATGGAAATTCAATACTGAGCTCAACTTATTGCTATTGATGAGGCTGATGGATTGTGAAACCAGATTTAAAAAAGCAACCTTAAAGTGCAAGACCAATGGACAAGATATTCTGTTAACAGAGCACAAAGATGACGTGGTGATTCATGCAGATTTACATACCAGGGTCTCCAACAGAGAAGGTGTATTTGAATATACAAACATGTATCACACAGCTGATTTTTGCTCATTTCTTACTGTCTTTTTTGTATGCTGAATTTTTTTTTTGACTCTTAACTGCTTGGATTTGGATCTACTTTTTTGTCATTTAACAACTCTAGAAATTAATTTGTCAACAAATCTCAGAATTTCATGTAATAAAAAGTAAGGTGTAATATAACTGAAAGAACTAATTGATCTGCCCTTCCTTGGGAGAAGTGATGTTCTGTGGATTATAAGTCAAGGCTAGGAGACCAAGTTCCTTGAGAATCATAACCACTCAGGAGGAAATACTGTATCACACTTGTTCGTAGGCAACAACCCTACAGACTGAATGTGTTTTGAGCAAATGTAAACTGGAAGAGTTGAACTGCTTGGGAAAGTGACCTGAGAACTGCAGAACTGAAGGGTATTTTCCCAAAGTCTTGCTCACAGTGTCTAGGGCCTGTAAATGTTATTTGCAGCCAGCAGCATTAAAGCCTGGTCATGGTGTCCTCCCTGCCTGTTCCTGGGTGCTCAAGAGACCAGGAGGCTCATCTGGGTGAATGGTCTGTTGCAACTCGGGTCCATAGGAGGTGATCTGCAGTGGATGGGAGAAATATAGGAGATTGCCATAGGAAACACGTTTTCTGGAGAGAAGTGGAAATCAGAAGTAGGTGGGAAGCTGTGTTTGGGCAGAGTTGATCTTTCCCGGAGTCATACATGTGATCAGAAAAGTGACTGAAGACATACATGTGCTCTGCAGGAATGGTGGTGAGGGCTGAGCAGGGCAGGGTAGGGACCAGAACCTGTGGGGCTGTGGGATTGCAAATAAAAGAGCAATTGGTGATACTGTTCATAAAATAAATTGGGAACCGGTCCTTTCCTTACTCTGTGGCTTTCCTAGAGTGCCCAATGCCACTCTGGGTTTTCTGTCAGCTGAACAGTTCTTTGTCCTGTAATCATGAAACCTATGGCAGGTAGTAACATCTGGATTTCAGTGGTCTTCAGTCTAAACAACTGGTTTCACACTAAACAAGTCTTCCAAAAGTAGCCAAAACAGTTCCTTTAGGGGTTTGATTGCTTAGTGTTGCTAGGTCTAATTTTGTGGTAGGCTGGTTGTGTAGATGGTTGGTCCTGATAAATTAACAGTGTGGAAGTGATTCTGATCTGGCCTGTGATTGGATTCTTAAGTCTTACTGCACTTAGGTATTTTAAAAGTGAAAGTATAAGGTGCCTTATTCATAATTATGTACTAAAATGGGCACAGGATTTTTCAGGAGATTGTAACAAAAGAGATGTGGCTCAATCAGGAAATCACTACTTTTTAATACTTCCAATACTTTAATATTCTGTTCCAATGTTTGCATACAAAGCTACCAACAGTGTCTTCTCCACTTCTCATTTGACCTGTCTGTTCAGTGGACATGTCAGCTTTAGCAGATCTTTCTTTGTACCCCTTGTCCTCTGTCAGTATCCCCACAGTTAAAGGTTGCAACTGTTTTCTGGGGATGGGAAGAGTGATGTGGAACCTGGAAAATGGCCCTGCTAACTATGGGAGTTTGCTAACTAATTCAAAGCTGGTTAAAGTAAATTTCTGTACCATTTCTGAAGCTTGAAGCCCAGCTCTTCCCTGCTGGTTTCCTAACACCTGTTCTCAGAACCTGTCCCAGTTTGCTGTGGTGGTTCCTGGGCTGAGCTGCTGCCTGCTGGGAGCCCAGCCCTGGCTCCTGTGCCCAGCCCAGCTCTCCATGTGGGGCTGTGCTGCTGCTCTTTGCTTTTTCTTGTGCTTCTAGAAAGGTTTTCCCATGCCAGGCTTGTTTTCTCCTTGGGTTGGACTTAACTGGGAGGTGCAATATTGGTACTTTATTACTTGGAAGGGGCTTCTTGAACTGGAATTTTTCTTTCCTGCAGAGTGATGGAAGCTGTCCAGAGCTGCCAGGTCATGGGAATGCCTTGTGTTAGGGTGGAAATGATAAATTCATGAACCTTAGGGCTGACATTAAACAGAGCAAGGCAGAGGGTTCCCATCTCAGCTATGGTGTGTGGGCAGGGTTCATTTGCAGTTTGGTTACAGTAATGTGTCTGCTACTTCAGCAGTGGAGCAGCTTCGTTTCAAAACGAAGATACAGACAAATATTTGAGATTTTTGGTGAGTGCAAATAGATCCTGCAAGACTGGTCTCAAACTCATAAGTGACACTCGTTAAAATGAAAGGATAACTGTAAACCCTAAGTGCACAGCGAAGTCAAACAGCCAGTGGGTTACAGCAGGCTTGAGCTGAACAGCCACCAGCCAGCACAGAGCAGGGGATTGCTGAACCTCACCCACATTCTTTATTGTCTGGGGACTCATTGGTGGTTAAGAGACAAAACCACAGTAGTGGTGAGGGGAGGTGCTCAGCTGGGACTACTGACCTGCATGGGATACAGATCTGGAGTGTCCTGAAGGGTGGCTGAGGGGTGCTGGGCTATTTCCTTTAATAAGATTCTTGTTGCTTCCCTTAAAATTAGATATGGTTTACTTTCACTCCAGGGAGTCTAGTGAAGGTATTCAGCACAGAGTTGGTTGAGTTCTCTTTTAATATTTGTTCTTTATGAGAGAGAAATCTCACATTTGTTTGTTTTTACAATTAGTTCCACCAAAAAGGATTTATTCCACAGTGAGGTTGTGTGTGACTCCTGTTCTGACAGCAGTGCAAAACGAAGTCACTTGTGAATTAGTGTTTTGGTGGAGGATGATCTAGAGAGAAATGAATCTGTGCTTTATGAAACTTGATCCTTCCAGAGCTAATGACTGATCTGGGACCTAGTTCTTGCATCCAGACTTTGACTTAACTGTGTGATGTTTAGGTAACTTTATTAAACCATGGCTCAAACTTTGCATAATTTTAACTCCCCTTTTAATGATTAATTATATGAGTGTACTTTGTAAAGCTCAAGTTTCCTTTCCTTTGTTTTTATTTTAATGCTCCATATATCACTGTTTGGGTATAGCAAATGAGTTAGTGCAGAAAATTATTTGATCAGGCTAAAACCTTCCACATTTTTAATTAAGGTTTCTGACACTGAAGTCATAATTAAAATTTCAGCCCGTAATAGGTTTGGTTTAGCAAGATGTGACAGGAGTTGCACAGATGTCGCTTTTGGGCAAGCAGCCATGGGTTGCTTGAGGACGGTCAGTGCTCGGGGCACTGCTGCCCTGGCTTGACAGGCCTTGGGACAGGCTATTTTTGAAGCCTTAGTAGTGAACAGAACTGTTCATTTGTTACTGAAAGGGAGATGAGCAAGTTGTTTGTCATGTAACTTCTAAAAAGGTGCTAAAATTTCACAATCTGTTTGCACTAAGTTTGCAGTGGCAGACTTTCAGTGGAAGGTGAATGTACAGTGTTTGGAGAAAGCCTAGTTCAAAGTACCTATCTGACTGTCAAGTTAGTCTGCTCTCAGCTATAGACCACTTCTGCTTGCACCTTGCTGTCAGCCTCTGGAAAATACTCCCAGTTTAATTGCTCTGCACACACAGAAGAACTTTGGGAACTCTGTAAATTATCTAAATTGCCTTGTTCTTC